CACCCCCTCTGACCCCCCTTTTCTCCCTCCCCTCCCTCTCCCCTCCCTCTCCCCCAGGTCTGGTACATGGACGGTTACTACAAGGGCCGGCGCGTCCTGGAGTTCCGCTCCCTGGACGACTTCGTGGCGGGGCAGAACTTCGTGCAGCACCTCCTTCCCCACCCCTGGGCGGGCACGGGCCACGTGGTCTTCAACGGCTCCCTCTTCTACAACAAGTACCAGAGCAACGTGGCCGTCAAGTACCACTTCGGCTCCCGCAGCGTCCTCGTGCAGCGCAGCCTGGCCGGCGCCGGCTACAACAACACCTTCCCCTACTCCTGGGGCGGCTTCTCCGACATCGACTTCATGGTGGACGAGAGCGGCCTGTGGGCCGTGTACACCACGAACCAGAACGCCGGGAACATCGTGCTGAGCCGCGTGGACCCGCAGAGCCTGCAGGTGCTGCGCAGCTGGGACACCGGGTACCCCAAGCGCAGCGCCGGCGAGTCCTTCCTCATCTGCGGGACCCTCTACGTCACCAACTCCCACCTGGCCGGCGCCAAGATCTACTTCGCCTACGACACCAACAGCTCCAGCTACGAGTACACGGACATCCCCTTCCACAACCAGTACTCCCACATCTCCATGCTGGACTACAACCCCCGCGAGAGGGTCCTCTACACCTGGAACAACGGCCACCAGGTCATCTACAACGTCACGCTCTTCCACGTCATCAAGACCAGCGGGGAGCTCTGAGCCCCCCCGGGGAGGGGGGGAGAGACGGGATTTGGGGATGGAGACGGGGATTCGGGGATGGATCCGGCGGTTCCAGGCTGGGTTTGGCTCCGGGGAGCTGTGATTCCACCCTGGATCCAGCTCTGATTCCACCCTGGATCCAGCTCTGATTCCACCCTGGATCCAGCTCTGATTCCACCCTGGATCCTCCAACCTGGATCCTCCATTCTGGATCCTCCATCCTGGATCCGGCTCCAGAGAATTCTGATTCCCCCCCGGATCCAGCTGTGATTCCCCCCTGGATCCTCCACTCTGGATCCAGCTCCAGGGAGCTGTGATTCCAGCCTGGATCCAGCTCTGATTCCACCCTGAATCTTCCAGCCTGGATCCATTCCCACGGAGCTCTGACTCTCCCCTGGATCCAGCTCTAATTCCCCCCTGGATTCTCCACCCTGGATCCGGCTCCAGGGAGCTCCGTTTCCCCTTGGATCCAGCTGTGATTCCACCCTGGGTCTTCCAGCCTGGATCCATTCCCATGGAGCTCTGAGTCCCCCCTGGATTCGGCTCCAGGGAGCTCTGATTCCTGCCCGGATCCAGCTGCGATTCCAGCACGGATCTGGTGCTTCCAGGATGGATTCGGCTCCAGGGAGCTTTGATTCCAGCCTGGATCTGGTGACTCTTCCCTGGATCCC